ACGCAAATACACACATGCGTGTAATAAAGGTGTATACAGTGTGATCCACTAGTTGCATTGTTACTAGTTGCATTCAGAAGGCAGTGTTATTGTGTTGTACGCAAATACACACATGCGTGTAATAAAGGTGTATACAGTGTGATCCACTAGTTGCATTGTTACTAGTTGCATTCAGAAGGCAGTGTTATTGTGTTGTTTTTTAACCACCTTCCCTTATTAGTTTCCACTAATTTCCAATGTTCCATGAGTAAAATCGTCTAGCATTAGAATGGTGCATAAAGGTATTTTGTGCTCTAGTGGGTAAACTTATTTATATACAACTCTGCCTTATGCTGCTAATTTTACTCTGTATGGACAGTGTGGTTGGCATCAGTTGGTCAATTTCATTAAATTCATTCACCCCCAGCTGCCTTCGATATGAACTGCGTGGTGAATAGCCCATACTCTGAATACTGAGAATATTGCCCTGTGACCAGGAAACCCGTATTTAACACACAACAAGCACTGGGTTAAAAATTGTATTAGTATAACTAGATACACATGAACACAAATTTTAAATCAATAGAGACTGTGTGTAAATTGATTTAATGAACTACCTTAGTTGGAAATTGTTTGTCAAATGAACCTACCAAACTGTACAATCATTATGATAAACAATATACCATGGCATAATTGAAGGCATGTCTTCTATCTGTTCCCTTTTGCCTGCCTTTTAACTAATATTAATATTCTTTTAAGATGTTGTCAATGTAGAAAGGCTGCACAGTAGCATTGATGAATATTTTCCCTGTGTTATTATATAAATGCACATCTTTGTCAAATATATCCATACACTTATCAATGGTAATCCTCAGGGTATATAGTATTGGGACAATTAGCAATACAAATATATAATTTAATTAAATATATTTTCCAAACTATCCCACTTTTGTGAGCAAATTTCATAATTATATCCTATATACACCAGTTACAGTTACATACAGTATTTATACCGTTCATCATTTTATCATTGTAAGATTAAAATCTGTCACATTCAATGACATATACAGCTTATATCAAATTATATTTGCACAATCAAAGCATATATACTCAACTATGGTATAGGCGAGCAAGCCCAGGTAATCATCTTTGTTTGCAAAATATCCAGTGTACAGTAATTGCCCAATAACTCAGGCAATGCAAAGCAATTAGACTGTTGTCATGAGGCATGCCAGCTCATTTCCATATACAATGAAAATGAAATATAATAGGAGATACCACTGGAACTTGCAACTTGAACCAATTACCTTTCAATGTAAGCTCCCCCTTAGTCTTCTAACCAATATTGCAACACTATTAGAAATCTCATTAATATTAACCTGCAATATTATTATACACTGTAATTACATACAGAGCCTGATGCAAGTCTTGACCCACACCATAGTTTTATTTTTAGTACCGGTATCCAATCCAAAATGTGCCAGGAGAAATGTCAATCTCACATAATTTAACGACAAGCTAAATATAGTTACAATCACTAAATCTATAATTATTTAATTATATATAGTATTAATTAACCAACATATAAAAAAAATACATTAATAGCCAATCAGAGTTACAACGATAAAGGTAGTTGTAGGACACAAACGTTTAATAACATGTGTATCAGGTCTTCATTTTTCTTCGCCCGCCATCTGTGAGAAAAATGAAGGTCTGGGCACAGGTTATAATCCCATGTAAACAGAGATGAAATTTGCCTCAGTAAAGCAAGCTGTCAAGTTTGGTATTGGGGCTGGTTTGCCTCCAGAAAAGCAAACCTCTGTTACTCGGTAAAGACTGTAAAATGTCAACCTACCTCATCCAACACCACCTCCCCCCCCTGCTAGTATATGCAACACTATTAAATAGGCACAAACTTTAATTATTATGTTAATACAAACAAATCTGCATTAACTGTGGAGCCCATTTTCCACTTTATACACTTCTTGAACTGAACAATGAACTACAATGTAAAATATAGATAAATTTCACTTACTTTAGAGCTCTCAGTTCGAGTTTCACATAGTGGGCATCTCACAGTATAAATATCCTTCAATTCTTGTACTCACATGAAAGATTTGATTCATTCCGAGCCTTGGTAATTAATTCGGTAATTTGTTCTCCGTTTTCTCCGTCAATTTCGACTTTCGAGAGATATTTCTTCCCATTATCTGTTCATTTGCATATAGTGTTTGCATATCCTTGCCGCCATCCATGACTTGAATCGAATGCCTCGTTACGTCACAGTAGATTTTGATTTTGCAACTTGCATCAGTGAACCGATGCGAGCGCCCGCAATCTGCATGCGATGCATCGCTCAGCGGACAAATCTACCGTGACGTAGGGCTCTAAAACAATAGATTTGATGATGTCACAGTAGATTTCACGCGGAAAAGGACTCGGGACCGATGCATTGATGCACTGATGCAAAATGGCTGAAAATCGATGCAAACCAAATGTACCGTGACGTAGGTGATGCATCAGCTTTCTACTGTGACGTCAAAGGATGCGGTAAAAAATAACATATTTTGTCGCGAAATTATTGACGCTTAAGTGTCGCAAAATAAAAAGTAAATAACAAAAAGTACACATTTGCGATCGCATATCGGACTTATTTTGACAATTTCGACTGTTATTGAGACTACTTAAATTGGATTTCATCCTAAATATTGTATTCCTGACATGGAGTCAAGTTTAAGCAAATATTTGCAGTTTGATAGCTGGAGAGGTTGAGATTCAAAGATATTCTATTACTGAGTGCTTGACCAAGTATTGACGACAGCATATTATGTCTGATATTATTTCAAGCAACATGATTTCTCAATTTTGACCGATGCATTCGCATCGTTGGCATCGGACTGGATCCGCCCCTGCTTTTTTGCAGCTTTGTACAAAAAGTTAAAAAAACAATTATCGTGTTGCCATGACTAACGTGACGTGCAACGCGAGCCTGTGTTCAGTGTTGGCTTAATTGCGAATACTTCATGTTGAAACATGTTTCAAAAATATATAGGCGAGGGGTTGTTGCATGCATGTATTTTTAGTTTTACTGCTTAACCACCACACGCAAGCCCCACGCAAGTTAACCACGTAATTATTTAATTAATCATCAGACAAACTAAGTTTTGTGTACCGCAATTAAGTCGTGTAGTTAACTAAGCACAGTTAAGGATTTAACCGCTACAGTGATTAATCATAGTTAAAATTAACAACGTTTTTAAGCAACCGGCCCCAGATGTTTAGTATTAAGCGTCCGTACGGGATGACGTAAGCATACAGCGTGCGTTTTGTCTTGACGAATCTCGTACTCGCAGTCGCTGCTAAAGCTCTCTAATGTAAAACGCCGCCAGCCCACGCAGCAAATTAGATTGCAGGAAAACAAAACACATTGCTGGCTACGCAAAAATAAACAAATAATTACAGTTATTTCATTGTTTCCGCAATTCGAAAATTGTGTACATTTCAAAAAAGATCATGCAGCTACTAAACGTTAAATCACTTAAAACTTGAAAAAATACTAAACGAAAGCTTAAACACCAGTTAACAACACAAAATTTAAAAATGCTGGTATATCTCGTTTTTCAACATAAATACTTAAAAAAATTACTTCGCAGGCTTGTCCCAAAAATGCAGGGAATTTTCCAAGCTTGGCGCGAGAATGACGTCCAACTAATGCAACTTCTAATTCTTTTAATAACTGTCGAAAGCATCCTTAAGAAAGTTTTTAAAACTAATTTAACTTTTACATTTATTAGTTAAAGAAGAAGAATTTCCTGCTACGAATGTATATACCCATGTGGCATCAAGTGCGGAACCTTTGACGGAGAATAATCGTAAATCCATGACAGCAAATGTTAAATTGGCAGCTTACAACACACTTTTGAGTCAAGATAAAAATTGTTCCAAATTTTCAAATGATCAACAAATTTTCAACTTTGCAAGCGATGATGTTTCGAAAAATGCTGCAACTAAAATTCCTGGAAGATTGTTTAAACCTTTGAGCAATTACATGAAATCTATTGGTCAAATTTCATCTGGAAGAATTGAAGGAACATGTTGGCTTGTGACTGCCAATCTGGTGATGACAAACCATCATGTTTATAGAATGTTTATGAAGGAAAGGAAGGATTTTGGAAACTCAAAATTGCCCATCATAGTTTCATTTGATTATTTGTACGCAGGAAAAAGAAACCATGCTGTCAACATAGAAGTTGATGACGAATGGGATCCCAGCATGCAGTTTGAAAGTTCTCAGTTGGATTACAAATTTTTGCGTTTGAAAGAAGACGAACGTATTAGAGGACGTGAACCACTTGGCCCAATAGTTCGCAGTCGTCCATTACAAGAAGGTCTTGTTATTATCGTGGGTCATCCAGCGAATAGTGAAATTTATCAAGAAACATGCGTTGTTGTCAGCAGTTATTTATGGCGTCAGAAACTTGGAGAAAGGGGAAAGAAACTTCTGGGAATCCCAAGGCATGAGAGAGTTTCTATTGGTTTGAACATGACCAACAACGATTTGCTACGTTGCAACCAAGCATGTCTTCCATACGACACAACCTTATTTTCTGGTGCTAGTGGTTCCCCTGTTTTTGATCTGAATGGAAACATCGTCGCGATGCACACACAAGGATACACACTAGATGACGGGAAAAGAACATTTCCTTTGATGGAGTTCGGAGTTCAGCTTAGTGCAATTTGTGAAGACATGAGACGCTGTCATGTCGTAGAAGAATACTTTCCAAACCACGAAGTACGCGAAATGGATACGGACTAATTTGTACGTTGTAATCTAAAAACGGTTAAAACTGCATGATATTTACCTTGACCATCGTGTTTTATTAAATATACGTTGTTAACCGAAAGCCCGTAGTTGCATGTATATCTTCTTCAAAAAAATTGCAAATATATCAGGCCACAGACGAGTTGCGAATGCATGACTCATACAAACTATAAACAGTCAATATGCCATAAACCGCGGATTTTTCACCCTTCATGGGCTTATTTCAGCCGTGACTTTCAAATAAATTGACCACAAACTCAGCCGTGACTTGCGAATAAATTGACCGTGTATACTAGACTTTCACGAGCTCTTTTTACTTGTATAAATATAGAAGATACATACCTAATATACAAAAATGTTTTTCGGTTGCTTTTCTGAAACAAAAGTGCTCAATTTTAATGACTCATTTACAAATAGTTGTGGTTTATGCCCTAACCAAAAGCTTATTAATGTTGGTACGGTGGAACCTATATACAGTAGCTGGTAATTCGTTTTGATGAAAACGTTAGTGCTTTTTAGTAATATTATTGACGACATGAATGATATTTTGCTAAAAAAATGAACTTAAAGTTTAACATATGTAAATCAGCCGGATTTGTGTACATGTACCCAAGTTTGTTCACATGCATGCATGTCGAGCTATTTTTTTGCTATATATATTAAGGCCGTTAGTGTTAGGCCGATGTGGCATTCATTGGTTTCAAGATTCTAAATTTTCTGTTAATATCGTTATATTACTCCCGCAAATTAGGAATGTGTCTTTTCTTTTTCTTGCCCCATATCACGACTTGTCCCGATATACACAACGCTATAGCCGACTTCACTCAAGAAAAATATTTAGGTCTATTTATACTTATTTAAATGCGTAATTCAGACCTAATTTAACTGTCTTATTTCATAGGAACAACAATATTGCACTGCCCATTTTTGTTCACTATAAATTAAATGAATAAATGAAACCTTTGTGCATGCGTTATAACATATATTAATTTATAAGAATTTCCGCACATTCCACTTGAGCAATTTTCCAATGCCACACTCGCAGTCGTGTCGGAAGATTCTTATGACATTTTCATATATTAATCTTCCATTTAGGCTATGTCAGAACTGGTTTATATTACGTGAAAATTAGTTTCACATGCATGCCAAATTATTATTTTAAATAAATAATCTGGAACTGGAACAGTTCAAATGTTAGAAAAGATAGTGATAGCGTATGTAAAATTTTTGCATGGCCATGGGATAATTTTGCAAACTTTAAAATGTATTTTAGAAATATGGATTGTGTTTTTAAAAATATGTATGGGATTCCATGCGAGGAACGACATGTAAAATAACATAGTTTAACTTTATTGTCTTATATTACGATGGCCGAGAAGGGACTTCCGAGTTTCCGAGATTCCGAGTTTCCGAGATTGGACGTTTCCGAGTTTCCGAGATTCCAGTCTCCGAGATTCCGAGTTTCCGAGATTGGACGTTTCTCTGCGGGATTTGGAGTTTTGGAAACAGTTACCTTCTAAAGACAGTGGTGTACGACAACACTGACGTTTTAAGATTAATAATTAACAATTATTCGCCGAAGGCGAAGTGATTACCGGTGAATATTCACCGAGACGAAGTCGAGGTGAATATTCACCGTAATCACTGAGCCTGAGGCGAATAATTGTTTTAGTATAAATT